GGCGGGGCTGCTCGCACGCCTGGTCACATACCCTTTGTACACCTGGGGTGTGCGCCTGGTGAGCGGCGAGCGGGCGGGGCTGCTCGCACGCCTGGGCCCCACCCGCCAGCCGCCCCGGGGTCGGCTCTAGGGGTAGCGGCCTCCTGGGGGGCTCCGCGCCCACCCTCTGTCCAGCCCACACCCCTGCCCGGCCCGCGCGGGGCTGCCCAGCTCAGGCTTCCATCTTGACCGGCCTGCTTTGGGCGCACGGCCCCCGGAGCCCACGGGCAGCCCTGGGTGGGCCGCCCTGCTGCGCTGGCCCTCAGAGGCCCTGAAAGGCCCCGGGCGATGGACCTGAAGCACTGCTGTCAGGAAGGCGGACAGCAGGGCCCGGTGTGAGGGTCCCCCTCACAACGGAGCGCAGGACAGGCAGCCCGAGACGCGGGGCCGGGCCGCCCAGGAGCAGCGGCTCTTTAGGGGCGGGAAGGGTTTGGAACTGGAGGGCGGTGGCCACTGAAGAACCTTCTGAGTGTGCCAAGTGCCACGGAACCACTTTAAAAAGGCCCGTTTTTTGCCAGATGTGGTGGCTCACACCTATCATCCTCGCTACTCAGGAGGCTGAGATCTGAGGATCACAGTTCAAAGCCAGCCTTTGCGGGAAAGTCTGTGAGACTCTCATCTCCAAGGACACACCAAAAGCTGGAAGTAAAGCCATGGTTCAAGTAGCAGGGCGCTAACCTTGAGCAAGAAAAGCTAAGGATCTGCGCCCAAGCCCTGAGCTCAAGCCCAGGACTGGCACATACACACAGCAAAGGTTGGCTGTGTGTTCTGTGAACTTCACCTCTAAGTTTACAGTAAGAAAACAAGTTCCTTTTAAGTTGTAAAGGAGCGGGGGGGGGGGTGCACACCTCTGCGCCCTGCGCCAGCAGCGCCTCGAAGGGCTCCCAGAACTCCTGCCGGAGCACTTGCCGCAGCTTCCGGGGAAGCGCCTCCCCTGGCTCCCGGGAGCCCTGGCAGAGCAGGAGAAGGCCGGTGGGCGAGGCGTGCCGGCCGGGTGCCAGGGCCCCCTCTGTGCGGGCCGCCTGCCCGGCCCCCGGGGCAGAGGCGGGGACGCGTCTGGCGGCGTGGAGCTGGTTCTCCCGGCCCAGTGACGCTGCCCAGAACCCCGTCCATGCCAGCACGCAGGACCCTGGCGGCGTGCGAGGGCGTGCAGAGGTGGGGAGCAGCGCCTGTTGCCCTGAGGACCAGCCTGGAGCTCAGTCCCCCAAGAGGGAGATGAGCTCCTCTGCTCTCGCCATCCTGGCCAGCAGAGTCGGGGGTCCCAGGCACGCCAGCCCTGCGGCTAGCCGGCATTGCCCGCTGGGCCGGCAGCCCCTGGGCAAGGGGGGCAGGGCCTTCCAGCCTGCGCTCCGGCTGCCACAAGGGTGGCATGCGGTGACGTGTGCCCCACGGTACAGCCAGGGGCACGGGCAGGGTGGGGGCGGAGGCGTGGCCGGCCTCTCCAGGAGCCGGGGCGGACCGGGCTCCCCAGGAGCAGGGAAGAGGCTGATGGCCACAGCCAGAGCCAAGCCCAGACTCCCCACCCTGCAGGGGAGGCCTGAGGACAGAGGCCGGGAACCCCACCCTGCAGGGGGAGGCCTGAGGACAGAGACCGGGAACGTGGGAAGGAGGAGGCCTGAGGACAGAGGCCGGAACGGGGAAGGAGGAGGCCTGAGGACAGAGGCCGGGAACCCCACCCTGCAGGGGGAGGCCTGAGGACAGAGGCCGGGAACGTGGGAAGGAGGAGGCCT